CTGTCAGAGCCCAGCGAGAGAGAGTGTCTTCTTGAGTAATTGGGAAAAGGTTCTAATGATAAATGATATTTGAGCTGATTCTTAAAGTTTGCCAGGTTGAAAGGAGAGAAAGGGACATTCCTTACAGGAAAAAATGGTTTTTGGTGATCTCATTTGTTTGAACTAGGAACTTGTACAACTTAGAAAATAAGTAACCTCCACTATACTTCCCCACTCAAATGTCGTAAGTCTTCAGTGAACCTTTGGCGTGTTCCTGAGTGCAGCAACTTCATGATTAAGTTCTCTCCTGTGCCTGCACTGCAGGTATCCTGACACCAGTACGTGATGGATGGATTGATGGAGGAAAGGAAGGGAAGGAGGGCCATATGTCAAGATATCACTAAGTCTAGATAAGGTAGAATCGTCACTGTGTTAGGACAACTTGGAGGCGGTACATTTTCAGTCGAACAGGAGGGCAGTCCATTTTTCTCCAGGCAGTAAAGGGGCCTGGAGAGAGCCAATATTTTCCTGAGAAAATAGCTTAGACTCTTAGGAATTACCTGCACAAACATTGAGCGTGCACTCCAGAGTCCTGCCCTATACAGCACAAAAAGAATGAGTTTGCTCTGAAAGTCTAAGGGCAGTTATTGCCAGCTAATCCCAACATCCCTGAACTTGAGCCAGGTCTCTGTGGAGGGTCTGATTTTAAATGGAGCTGCTTCCTCATGGTCTCTGTAGAATTATAAGCTGAGGAATATCTGCCTGAACAGCTCAGAGGCTTGACTTGTGGAAGGGGTTATTGCAGATGCTTGGTGAATGATTACCAAGTGCAGTTTTCGTTTTGATGTATTGATGCTGAACAACTCTGACAGTAACTAGTCATGAGGCTCAAAAAGAATCCCTTGTTTAGAAAGTCTTCTCCTTCAGAAAGATGCAGACCTTTCTTCTGACCTGCCTACTTGACTGTTCTCTTGGATTTCCCATCACTATCGTAGGCCTAAACAGGGCCATTTAAAAATCTTGTTCTTCACCGCCTTCTCCAGATCTGCGCCGCCTTTGCAGTGTGCCCCTCTCATTAATAACAGAACACCATTCACCTAGTGACTCAAGGTAGAAGCGAGGTATTAATTCTTGACATCCTCCCTCAGCCCTTAAGGTATGCAGTCAGTTTCACATATTTCTGACATTCGTCCACCTGACTTCGGGTGGTGTGTCATTAGCCTTGTCCAAGTGACCTCCATTCATTCCAACTACTGCCCTCGCCTCCTAACTGGCTTCCCTGTTTCCACGCCTGCTGTTTCTCATCAGTTCTCCGCAGAGCACCCACAGTGATCTTTGTAAAACATAACCTGATTATGTCATCTCCTGCTTACAAACCTTCACTGCTTTCCCGTTGCACTCGAGATGAAGGGAAAAGCATTGACCCCGACCACCGTGGCTGGGCATGACATAGCTTGACTCCCCCTCCAACTTTGTCTTCCCTTCATGCCCCACTTTCACTTTCTCTCCAGCCGCGCTGCTCTCTTTCAGCTCGTTAATGTGCCCGGCGGTTCCCTGCCTTAGCTCTTTTCCCTGTTTTCTCTGCCCGGAATGTTGCCACCCACTCTTCACCTGGCGTGCCCCTTCTCATTTCTAGAACTTAACTTAATTGTTACTTTTTTCTTGAGAGATATTTCCAGATCATCTGATCTAAAGTTGTCCTCTAATAATCTCTCAAGATTTATCAGAGTTTGAAAAGTCGAATCTGTTTCATCTTTCTCTCACTGTATATAATATGAAGCTCCATGGGGACTGTATCTGTTTGGTTCCCGCTGTGCTGTGGAACACAGTGCTTGTACAAGAGCGGTGCTTCATAAACATTGGTTGAATGAAAGACTGTTTTATTAAAATGAAAGTTGATCTGGAAAGGAGCATCTTGGCTTTCTCTTTACAGTAACAACCAGGCCTGCATCTAATTTCCGTAGCAATATTTGCAAACTGCTTCTGCCTAAGTGTCTTGCAGAGGACTAACAGAAAATCAGTTATGTGCCATTTTGCTTTGCTGCAAAAAGAAAAGCTTGGAGGCGTTTTCAGTGTTTGTCTTGGAGTCCAACAGGCTAAGTTTAGGTCCTATTTTCTTTTGTCAAGCTGTCCACCCTTGAGCAAGCACTCCTAGGTCTGCTTTCCCATATGTAAAATGGGGAAAACTGTATCTATCCCACGGGCTTGTTATGAAGATTAGAGGAAATTTTATATGCAGAGTGCCTCATACAGTGCTTGGCTGGCACCATGTAGGAGTTCAGTAGTTATTTGTCTTATCCCCTTTCTATCATGGGAGATTGAAAGGAACTGGTAGAAAAACTCATTTAACCCACCTCATTATCTTTTTGTCCTTATTTTATGCATAATCACACCCAGGAGCACTAACGTGAGGGTCAAAATCAGTTTAAGAAGAAATAATCCATCCCTGGGGTGCAAATAAGCAATGATGGACTGCTTTTAATGGTCTGTGATGTTGGGCTCCCTCAGAAGGACACACGTGGAATTCTGCTTTGCCCTATCCCAGGGGTGATTGTTGAATGTTGTAAAATTGTAATTACAAATAAATATAAGTAGCTCTTTTCTATTCCAATTCAAGTAGATATTCCATGGAGATAGGCTATATAAAAATATTGTTCCCATTTAGATAGGTCTTTGGAGAAGCCTTGGCAGTATGATTGAAAACTCTGAAGTCCAAAGCTCTTCTAATTATGTTGTCAGCTTTGGGGGTTATTAAGAAATTAATATTCTGAAGACAGGTTATTAGATTCAAATGGGTTAGGTTCAAATTAGTAAGTGGTATACATCTACTACCCAGTTAGGAATACCAATCTGGATGCTAGACTGAGCTTTGAGGAAAATGCTTGAGTTGTATCTTTCAGAATCATCAAAGGTTAATTCTGGGCTATTAAAACAGAATAACTCACCCACCCTTTCCCCTGTTAAATTTGTTTCATTGGATGACATGAGACAGGAATGGTGGCAAGGGGAACTTTCGCCCTGTAAGCCAAGTCCTGTTTGTTATGAGACAGAGATGATTTAGAGGACTTGAGTGTCGATACAAGGGGTTAGACAGGACAGTTAATAGATGTAAGATATTAACAGACTACTTAGTTAGCTCAGTTGTTTAGCGTGTAGGAGCTTTGGAAGACAAAGGAACAGACAGGAATTTCCTCTGGGTTCTCTCAATCTGCCATGTTCTGTGCCCAAAGATCTCACCCAGACCCAACCCAAGTATCCTGAAAATGTGTATGATTGGTTACTTGGAACACTTGACTAATAACGTGTAAATGTACTTAGGGAAAATCCATGAGTACCAGTTCAGAAGATGTGCTGTATTGACTGAGGACGGTTCTATGAGGACTGATGTTTAGACGTCTCTTTTATTAGCTCATGGTCAATTTCTCACTGCAAACTCAACTTCATAAACCAATATAGCTGAACTGAGAATTGCAGTTGCTGATGTTAACATATGTCCTGAAGGAGTGCTGTCATCTTATGGAGGGAATAAAAACCAATTATATTGTTTCCTTCTTCCTTT